AACCCCCCCCCCCCCCCGGAAAAAAATTGGTACATGTGTTTGTAGACTCGTTGGTAAAAAAATCTTTATTTTTCTTCTTATGGATCTCAATTATCTGACCTATTGGCTGCACTTCTTTTTTCCTTTTTAGAGTGGTTCTGAAATTTACTTCATACCATTGGCTTTTTCAAAGGAGAGGGGTGGAGAGGAGAATTATTAAAAACAATATGTTTACTTTTTTTTGTTGTAATATAAAAAATAAGAATATATGTGTATAACAATAATAATGCAAAACAGTTTTGTTTTGGGTAATGAAAATTAAAGGGGGAAAATCAATCCTCCAAAACCCAAGCTTCCCATCATCCCCTCCAAGCTCATCCAACAAACCAACCAAAGGCACAAGCTATCAAATTTTCAACAACCATGCTAGGGGTACACCAAGAAGTGTACCCCAAAAGAATACACTAGTATTTCAACAATTCACATTGGCACAAAATGTTAGTTCAATCAAAAAAATTTGCACTGACATTTTATGTCATTGTAAAGCATTGCACTAACATCACACTAGCATAAAATGTTGGTGCATGCCTTCGAGGTACAAAGTGGGGTACAATTCTTGGTGTACAAATATCATTTCCCAAATTTCATTTAATCCTCAATTTTGCACTCCATCCGTCCTATGTTTTTCCTCCCACTTTGATTTGGTACGATTATTGAGAAAAGTGAAATTGTGTAGTTGTGGTTAATTTAGAAGTGAAATAAAGAATGTGGGACATACAAACATTGAGCGGGAGGAAAATTTCAAGACAGAGGAAGTATATTTTGTATAAAATATAGATTTTATTTAGTTTAATAAAAATTATGATAATATAAATACTAGTCACAGGCTCATGGCAAAGTACTTGGCTATACTTGGCTACACCTTTTCTATATGATACTCCGTCCTAATTGTTTTTGCCCTGTGACTTCACACGATTCTTAAGAAAATAAAATTGTGTGGATGTGGTCTATTAAATATGGATAGAAAGGAAATGAGAAAGAAATTTTTTGGACATCCCAAAGTGTAAGAGGGAAGAAGATTTTACTCTTTTAGGATGGAGGGAGTATGAATTTATTGGCTCCAAAGCTTTCAAGTATTAAGATACATGTAATAGTGAGCATATATGGATCTTCCTAAAGAGAATTGTTGTGTTTGAGGATCTTTTTGGGTTTGTTTTTTTCCTTCCGCAATAGTATATGGCCATACATGCTCCCCTTGTTCTAATATTTAATGTCCTGTGGATCTTTCTGATATGTGCGATATGGTGATAATGCCAATTAAAAATTCAATTAAGGCGAAACTTATTGGACCTTTCTTAATTTTATCATTTGCACTTGCTCAGCATGGCGGTGGAAGAGTTTTAAAAACACTCCAAAAATTGGTTTTAAGTCTTGATGCTGCAGAGATTAGTCTTGGGTTTATTGTGACTGATGATGGAAGTTGGACTTCAAGACACTTGAAGCAGTGTGCTTTGGAGAAGAAAATACCTATTATGGTCAGTATATTATTATCATCATTAGTGTTTGTATGGTCATCATCATGACATCATCATCACCTTTTGAAATAAAAATACGGTTCTTTACTTTTTTAGTTTGAGTATAAAGCTAAGTTTATTTTATTTGTCATGCAGTCAGTTCAATGGATAGTAAATAGTTTACATGCCCAGAAGCTTCTTCCCTTCACAGAAAAGAAAGATGTTGTCCCTCTACCTCTCATTAAGCTTCCTGATACTTGTTCCATCGGATGGAGTCAAGAAATTTAAGCTTGCTCATTGCAGGTGCTCTCTCTTGCAGAGCTTCATCATTTAAGTTTTTTTTTTTTTTCCGTTTCGTCAAGGCTACCTCAGACCCAATTGTTTAAAAGTCGTCATCTAATTTATACTCCGTATGTTAGGGCAGTCAGGAAACTAAAAGGATCATAGGCCGTCTTCCATCAAATTTCAGATATGGTCGTTATGGCTGTGGGCAGTCTGTTCTAGCCTTCCCGTGGAGGTTTTATTGACCAAATGCCATGTGTGCCAAGGAACTAACCAAACCAAAAACTCAAGCTTGTGATTGAAGGTCCTAAAGTATTTTTGTACGCTAACATGCCCCTCACGTGTAGCCGAGGTTTGTTTGCTCAAACCTTACATTTAATTTTTTAAATTTGGGTGGCGATGATATTCTAACGTGTGACTTCTATGTTTCTATGTAAATGAAATTCACATACCATATCAAGGAACCAATTTAATTAAAAGCCCATGTTTGTGATTCAATGCTCTATAATTTTTTATACTTTAACATTGTCTAATCAATTGATATAATCAAGAACCACCATATTATCATGGGGATTGATGAGTATACTGGGACTGCGATGTATAGCGAGTTAGATCCATTATATCCAGTTCATTCCCTAATTAATATGAAAAATGCTTAGTGTACCTCAACTTTGACTCCACTTTTGAGACCACCTCTTTACAGACATTCACTGACACAGTTCCGTGAATGTTTGTAAAAAGAGTGGTGTCAAAAGTGTGGTGCCTCAAGCACAATTCAATTATTAATGCATGCAGGCTTAGTCCATTGGAGCTCATATGCTTGGTAGGAGGATACAAACCACTGCCCACATGAAATGAGTTTGGGTTAATCCGACCTGGAATTGATGCTAGGAATTTGCCAAAGTGGCGGGTTGAGGTAGGCTAGGGTTAGAAGACAAGAGAATGATCCCCACAATTCCTCCATGTCTACATGATCTCCCATGATCATGGCTCATGCTTGCATATCTTCCAGGAACATGGTAGGCTTTTTATTTCTATAAATATACCCTCTTAAAACTTGGATAGATGATTGCATCCTTGATATAATATAAAGAGCATATTATTGCTTTGCTTTATTTCTCTCACATTCTCTTATGTTCCATTACTCATCTATTATTATTCTGTCAAAATTCCGGTGGATTAACATTCATCGGTGATGGTTTGCTCAAAATTTCATACGAACATTAAAGACGAGGCCATGTGTCATATAGGGGAGGCCAAAAAGAAAACAAATCCTAGTTATAGACTTGGCTTTTATATACCAAGTAATTTTAAATCATTATAGCTTTTGCGGGGATTAAATCATTATAGCTAACACTCAGATAGGTCTCTCCTTGCTCTCAATCTCCAAACTCACTCACTAAACACACAACAAAACCTCAAACTATTACTTTTGTTGATTCAATTGTTGCAGGCCACTACTTTTGTGCTGACTCGAGCATAGATTTGATGAGGGATGGCATTCGGGAGTGGTGAACTAGAAGGACAAAATGACCGAACAAGAGCCAGAAGATGAAAGGGCTTAGAGGGAACCCCCCCCCCCCCAC